TTACAAATGTATCAGTTACTTTTCAACATCTTATAAATGATATTTTTTGTGATTTTCTAGATGATTTTGTTGTTTATTACTTAGACGACATTTTAATCTATTCTAAGAAAGTAAAAGAATATGAAGTTTATGTATGTTATGTGTTACAAAAACTTAGAGATATAAAATTGTATGCCAAGATGGAAAATTATATATTTCACACTACTCAAGTTGACTTCTTAGGATACATCATTTTAAATAATGGTCTAATGATGGATCCCAAAAAAATTCACACAATCATAGACTAGAAGATTCTAAAAATAATAAGAGATATACAATACTTTTTGAAATTTATCAATTATTATTGGATCTTCATTAAGAACTTTTTTCAAGCTACAGAGCACTTACATGCTTAACTTGTAAAGACAAGCTAAAGTGGAGTAAAGAAGCAGCAGCATCATTTGAAGCTTTGAAGAAAGCTTTTACTTTTGCATCAATTCTGCATCACATTGATTTTTTTAAAGCATTTTTTATAGAGACAAATGCATATGACTTTGCCTTGAATGTAGTCTTATCACAAATAGGAGCAAATGAAAAACTTCATCTAGTAGCTTTTCATTTAAGAAAATTTTCAGTAATCAAGATTAATTATGAGATCCACAACAAAAAACTTCTTACAATCATGGATTCTTTTCAAGAATGGCGTCATTATTTAGAAGGCACTTCAAATTCAATCATCGTGTATATGGATCACAAGAATCTCAAGTATTTTATGTTAGCATGTATTTTGAATCATTGTTAAGCTCGTTGAAACATATCTTTATCAAGATTTGAATTTAATGTCACTTATAGGCTAAGAAAAGAACAAGGTTTGTCTCATGTCCTTTCCAGATATTTTTATCTTACACCAAAAGAAGGAGAAGCAACTTTTGACTAACAAAAGATAGTTTTATTGAAGCCAGAATAATTTCATCTCTGAGTAATGAAATCAACATTGACTGTTGATTTGACTTTTCTCAAGAAAATCTAAGCAAGTATGTCCTTAGACCTTCTTGTTCATGATATTAAAAACAATTCCTCAAAGTCTCAAGATACTTCTAAGTTTGAGTTTAAGGAGAACCTACTCTATTTCAAAGGATGCTTATATGTTCCAAAAAGAGAAGCACGATTACGTGCTCTTGAAGCTCGTCATAATTTCCTTGCAGCAAGATATTTTGGATATAATAAGACTTTGGAGCTTATATCCAAAGATTTTTAGTGGCCTCAAATGTGGAAGGCTATTAAAAAATTTATGCACACATGTGATGTTTGTTCAAGATCAAAAACTCCTCATCATTGACCTTATGGATTCTTCCAACCATTACTTCTACAAAAACAACCATGGTCTTCTATCTATATAGATTATATTATGGATCTTCCAATTTCAAGTTCATATGATTTCATATTCATGATTATAGATCGTTTTACCAAAATAGCACATTTTGCACCATATAAAAAATTTATCATAGGTGAAAGAATAGCTAAACTCTTCTTTGACAACATCTATCGTTATCATGGATTACTAAGAGATATTATATCAAATAGAGGAATACAATTTTTATCAAAATTTTGGAGAACTCTTTTCAAGATATTGAAGGTGGATATAAAACTATCTTCGGCTTTCCACCCTCAAATTGATGGACAAACAAAATAGGTAAATTAAGTTTTAGAATAGTATTTGAGGTATACCATCAAGTATCAACAAGATGATTGGACAACTCTTTCGTCAGTGGCAGAGTTTGCTTTAGAATAATTCGGTACATTCTTCTACTCAACAAACACCTTTCTTTTCCAATTACGGTTATCATCTATGATTTTATACTTTTGACTTTTCAAAAGTTGATAATCTTACGGTGGAATATGTGGCAAATCAATTGTTAGAGCTACATCAACGACATCTATCAAAATGAAGATGAAGAGTCAAAAAATTCTTTGCTATTAAGCAAAACAAGTCCAATGGAGATTTCATTCTATCTTATATCATTGTTTCTTTGTATTTTTTAGTACTTAGGAGACAGAGAACCAACAACTAGCAAATTCAACTTAAGAGCTATCATTTGCTGAGCTACTAGACGAGACATTGCAACTATCAAAACCTTCGAGATGGAAAAATCAAGATGAAGATCCTCAAAAATGACATATTCTTGTTTGAATAGATGGCAAGATACAACATGTTTAGTACCATGACCTTGGAAAGGACTCTCAGTGTTTAGTGATACTTTGAAGGTAGGAACCACTTTTGATGGTATTATTAATGTTTTGTTTGAAGGAAGTTATGAAGGCCTCAATAATGATCAAATATCAAGGTGATCTTTTTACCTTGGTATGGGATATTATCGATGATTGAAGGGACCTATCAATTATCTTTGAAGGAAAGAAAGATCAGAATACATAGCAAATACAGTTCGGTGCATCTTGGACTTCATCAACATGTAATCACCGTTCTTTGTCAAAATCGTTTCTAGAAAGAGAGATAATATCACACACATACATACTTACCTTAATAATTATCTAGATAATAAGAATAGGTAGAAATAAGTCAAAGTAGATAAATATGATAATATCTTGTAGAAAGCTTCCTAGAAGCTTCATAGATGTTATTTTGCCTTTATACATCTCTATAGGTCATTGGTAGGTTGAAAATTTGACCAACAATGAAGCCACGTGTCGACATGTTGACCACTTGTAGTACAAGTTAAACATATTGCACACACCTAGGAAACTTGTTTTACAAATTAGATATGTGTCATGTAAGTTAGATGTATATTAGAGGTCATATAGCATAGTGCCACATAATTCTTAGTTAAGTAGTATATATAGAGGCAAGAATATGGCCTTCTTCACTCTTGTCAATTCCTTTCTTGCTTTTAGTCTAGTTTCAAGAGTCTTATGTTTTCTAGTCTTTGAAAATAGTCATTCAAGTTCTTCCTTGAATATGCATATTTTTTTCTATTTTGTCACTTTTCTTTTGGCACAGATTTCATGAATTTATGTATCTTCTTTCAGTTTGTATTTGGGACAAATATAGAATTTTTTTAAAAAAATAACAAAGAGTTTTTTTTTGCTTTGGAACACTTGAGAATGTGGCAAAGGTAGAAGAGGGCATCTAGAGAATTAGAAATGGCTTTTGGATCTTCAAAATAGAAGAGCTCATTGATAAAGATGACTATATACTTTATTATTAGGTGAAGTGAAATATATATATATATATATATATATATATATAGTGAAAATTGAATGTGCTCCCATGAATATAACAATAGAGGGTCAAAGTAAAAATGAATGATGATCCTTAAGCAAATGAAAGGATCTACTAAAAATCAAAATAGTGGAATAAAATGATAAGAAAAATAAAAAAATAAAAAAAAATTAAATAATTTGATAAAAAACATAAGCTAAGAAATATCAAAATATAAACAAAAATATAATTAATACATAATAACAATAGAAGATGTTTTTTTAAAGGACAACCAATAAATTTTTTAATAGTTGGTTTGAAATCATGTTAATTATTTATAATTTTATTGATTTTTTAAAAAGCAAATATACTTATATTCAAATTTTAAAAATTAATATAGAATGTGAATACAATTTTAATTTGTATAAAATTTTAAAATCTTGTACAACCTATTAACTATAAAGACATTAAAATTATAAAATAGAAGAGAGAAATATTATGATGTTGGTAGTTTGTTGTCTTGTTGTAATACGGTTATTAGGTAAAAGAAAAGAATAAAGATTATATTACAAAAGAACTTGATTGAAAATATAGTAGAAAATTACTTTTAATATATCTATATCTATATATAAATATATATATATATATATATATAGAGAGAGAGAGAGAGAGAAAGAAAGAGAGAGAAAGAGAGAGAGAGAGAGAGAGAGAGAGAGAGAGAGAGTTGTAATTACACATGTGTAAAGTTGTTGATTACAGAGAAAAATTGGAAAGAAAACTTGATAATGTTTGAGCATTAGTTTTTAGAAATTTGAATGTATTATGACTTTGTGAGAGTTTTGCAAAATATAGATTGTTTTGGATGGTTCTATTTTAGTAGAATAAATATATATATATATATATATATATATATATATATATATGTTTTGGTAAATTGTATGAGTTTTATAGCAAATCTACAAGTGAAAATTTGTAAGTTTATAAAAGTAGTTGTGTTGGATGTGTTTTGTAAAATTAAACTCAACCAAATGGTTAGATCAAAATTTATTAAAGTTCCAATTAGCTAGGATCTTGGAAGTTAGATTTTAAGGATGAATAAGGATTTTTATGATTTTGAGCAATTCGCTAGTTATATTAAGATGATTATTTTGTGAATCTGGAGAAGTTTGATACAAGTGTCAAATTCTATTGTAATGTGATGGACAAGGGATCTTATGTACATACTACAATTTATGGAAGAACTACAAGTGACTTAAGGTTGATCCTGATATTGATTTTTCAATGCTGCTGTATTTGGTAGATTAATCTTATACGTACTCTCGTCTGTATTTACGGTTCAGTATGTATTTTAAACTTTGATAACCGTTCTTGACCAAACAATTGATGCTTAACCCCAAATTTCACAGTACGAACTAATACTCTTTTGTTGACATATATAGCCCTGTCGTGATTCGGTTATCTCCAGCTACAGTCTTCTGCCCAAAAGTCCATACTGTACATATAATAACGCTAATCATGCAATTACAATACAAACCACAAATAAATACATCTTAAGATGAGGTCTCATCTTAATACTCCCCTAGAATCCAAACTTAAGTAAAATTACACTCGGAACCAGTGAGAAAATTTCGGGTCCATGATTGCTAGTTTAGAAAGATTCAGACAATTCTGGTTGAAAGATTTCGGTAAGCATCGTGGACTCTCAACTTTCATTTGGGTACACACAGCTTTCTGCCCGTCACTTTTCGGTATTTATCCGTGAGCCAAATGCAATATCTTGAGCTTCAAAATGCATAGAAATACGTTCCAAGAACTTGATGAGAAAAATTCTTTCGCCTTATAAATTGCCAACAACTTGCCACAAAATGGAAGTAGAACTCACAGGCGTGAACGGCAACCTAACTGGTACGAAACTGCTCTGTTGAACCGATAGGTTCGGTCAAAGAATCGGCAACTTTAGCCCCTACGTATTAGGCACATAAAAAGGTACACAGTCTGCAACTTTACCTAACCATTTCATCATGGGTCACAGGTTCGGAAACCAAATTAGAGCCGACAAGACAGATGGTTGGCCATGTGTACAAACTAAGACTGCTTGGTGTTGAGCACTGAGAAAACTACAATCCGTGCATGTTTTCAACACACATCAATGTCCCATGACTCTCAAACCAGCAAAATAATCATCATTGAAATTATAGCGAGTGGAGCTTTAAGTCATCTGGCGGATGAGATTGTTGAGCAAGTCCTCTCTGTTTCCAGCATCACCAGACTCAACGAAATGAAGCCTCTTCTTCTTCAGACCTCCCAAAGGACAGCTAAGTTTGAAAGACCATAAAAAGTTGTTGGCTTCCTTGAAGTGAGGTCCAACAGTGAAGATCTCATGAATGAGATCCTCAATACATATGATACCCAACTTTCCAAGTGCCTACACAAAATCAACAGAATTCATCAGGTGAAATCACTGCAAAGGATACACGTCAGGTCCTACTAATTTTAATTGTGTCGCAATGCAGCTATTTATACGAAATTCTTGTTGAGTACAAACCTCAAACCTAAGCCTTTCCTAATTAAGCTCTGTCATGATGACCACTTGTGTGAAATTCCTAGTCCACCATGGGTGATATCAACCGCAGAACTTGTTGCATTTTAAAATCTACTGAACAAAACTGGCAGACTAGTTACACCACAGAAAACGAGTTTATAATTCTAAGAAAGGACGGTACCTGCTCGATAATGGTATTGTCAGTAAGGGCGACACGTGACTTGACAACCTTACCGTGCCCACGCTTATAGATCAATTCACGAACACTCTTCAAATTAGGGTACCTGCAAGCACAATTGAAAGCCGAACTCGTGATCAATTCAAATCCAGAACAAGTCGGGGAAGGCAAAACACCTCTTTCAAAATGAAATTCTCCAAAACTCAGTTTTACGCCATTCGCTGCCTACCCGTAGGTCACATATGGCTCGACTCGACTCAACATGTTCATCGTGGCTTTGTTAACTTTCATGAACACCCCATTAAAGATCTGCATAAAGCACTCCTCACATCAGAAAATGACTCAATGAAAAAAAGAAAACAACAAACAACTCCGGCACTCTAAACCCTATAATTCTACATTAAAGCTTCAATACCCAATCCAGCTAGAAAAGAGGCATGCAAGCAAATTGAAGACGAATACTTGTACCTGTCTCAAACGTAACAACTGCATGATCTTCCTGGTCTTGGGATGCATGTCGTTCACACTGAACACAATACAAAAACTCAATCATCGTTATCGTCTGTAACCAACAATAAAACACTCGGAATTGTCTAAACTCAAATTCCCCAACGTGCGAATTTCCATATGTTGAACCAAATAGAATGTACACAGAGATTGAGAAAACGTATACATCCACTTTCAAAGCCACACTTCAATGCACGTTCGAAACCTGAACTCCATAATGTGATAAGTTAAAGAAAAGGCACCGAGAATAGGCGCCACAACCTTTAATCACACACCATAGAACGAAGAGAATCTCCTGCTTACCCACGAATACGAATAACAAACATGAGCTTGGCCTCAGGCTCCACATAGAATCCACCCTTCAGCTTCGCTTCTCTCTTCAGTCGGATCAGATCAGACTCCTGCTCCACATCCAGGAACCACCCATCAGTCCAAACTGTGAAACCCTAAGCCCCTTGGCAACCCTGATGCAAAGCACTCTGTTTCCACCAGATCGACTGTGAGCATCGCAGCACATCTGACCACGATATTCCTTAATGAACTGCTCAGCGCTTTTGAAGATGAGTTTGCGATTCTCTGAATTTCTGCTCTTCGAAGACTCCAAATGCTGCATGCGGTTGATGGCCCAAAGCTCATCGCGCTTCCGCTTCTTAAGTAGAGTTTTAGGCACTACTTTCATGGGCATATCAGCAACAGGTGCACTCTCCACTTCCATGCTGACCCTTCTACTGGTTCCTAGCACCAGATTGAATGCTCAACACTTCGCTGCGAGTCTGCGAGTGGAAGAGTGGCATCGAGGCAGCAACGCTTGCCCAAGTGGGCTGTGAACTTGAGCTGCAAACTCTAACGAAGATCTGACAGTCGAATGCGTTTGGTCGCCAATGGAATTGAGGGACAATTCTGAGTCAGAATCCGGCAAGTAAATATAAATGTGAGGTCAAATAATGTGGGTTTACTATCTATTGCCCTAAAATCGTGTCATATCCTTTGAATACATGCAAAATTACAAGATTATGCACACAAAATAAAATAACCATAATCTTTAATTTGTCTAATAATGCAATTGGTATGTTATATGCATTTTGATTACTTTCAAATAAAAAATCAAAATATAATAATGATGAATTTGTGACATTACATTGTTATTCTAAATATGTATTCCACGTTATTCTTACTTAAATTTTTCTGAGTTTTTTTTTTTTTTTTTTTTTCAGATATATATATATATATATAGATAGGAAAATGTTAAAACGACCAATGGTGGTTGACGCAATTTTCTTTGCATTAGCATGTTCATCCCCATCAAACGAACTCACATCGGCAACTTCTAGTGCATGGCTAGCTCTGTAGCAATGTGGTGCAGAGCTTTGATATGTGCAAATTCGAAAGAGGAATTTAAGTCTGAACATCTATTTGCTGATATATGGCTTGGTAAATCCTTAGATTTGGCAAGTTCAAGGGAAGGCTCTTCAATAAAGAAACTTATTGGATTAGATGCTTCTGCGCCAAAGAGCCAGTCTACACCCTTCTGTGAACTGCAAAAAGCTTCAAAATTCACCCTATTCATCACTAGACCAATGCACACAAGTGTCGTCAAGAAAACGGCCACTCCACGAGGCGCCAATCATGGACTCATCAATGAACACTTTTCAAATAGCCTCATGTTCTGAACGATTGTAAGATCACATGAAAACTGCACGTCGCCAATAAGATACGGTTCAGCGCTTCTCGCAATCACCTAACCAGCTAGCTTTGCATGTCTGACCACTTCAACATCCAGGTAGCGACCCCACAACGAACCTTCCTTGGACTACAAATTGCAACAAAAAAGTTGCACAAATCTACCAACAAACCAAAACACACGCAATGCTACTACTACCATCATAGAAATCTATCCCATCACTATCCAACTCCGTTGACATGTTTTCTTCAACCGACCACCCACCAAGTTGGACGCAATCTTGACAACTAGTTCTCCACATTGTAATCAGAAAACAATGGAATGCGACCCACAAATTGGATGACAATTCGCCTTGCCTTTCAAATTCTACATTGAGCGTGTGAATTTGCAAGCACTTGTAAGACATTGAAGACTGAATTCTAGCATCACACTCGTCGTCACACGCACTTTGGCACATCAACAAATCTCGGCAATGAGGTTGCGATTTAAATCGCCATTGGATTTATGGATTTGCACGGAGACTCTAGACACTAATACACTTTATTAAAAGGTATCCATACTGTATTTCCAAGCAAACTTAAAGCGAAGCAAAACAAAGCCTTGCCGAAGCGCCTGTTCATGAAAAGAGTACAGATCCCCTTCCATCTATCGAATATTCTCTGTTTTTTTTAATACAATTTTTGCACTAGATATGCTTCCAATGATGGCTTAAGTGTCGGTGTCGGTGCAGAGACTTAGGGTTTCAATTTTAGAGAATTGGCTTTACATCCCACTGAGTGAGATATGCTTCGAGATCTGTTACACATATCCCACATCAAATTTGTAGGCTTACCTTCTGCTAGATACAGTGCATTTCTTTGAAACTGTTGTTGGTTGTGGAGCTCGCAGCATTCCTCACGGCCACTTTCTACTGTTTCTCCATGCAAAAAATGGGCAAGGTAAAGAAAGTTCTCAACTAACGTTGCCCATTGAGGTCCGACAACTTTAGTGGGCTTCCCGAAGCCATCTCATGGCTGAACGTAGAAGCAATAGTGTCGTTGCAAAGGGTCACAAAGTGAAGCAAAGCACACATAACAAGATGCGAATGCTTTAACAAAGGAGGCGTCAAAGAAGAAAGAGCAGCGAGGATGTCATCCATGAGCTTGAGACGCATTGGCAACAGCCAGTTCCAGGAGAAAGGATTCGGGCAAGTAGGACGGGGAAGGGGAATTGAGGTAGGGGAGAGGGGTTGAGATCGTGGATGAAGGCTGGGAACGAGGGAACAGGGGAACGGGGACGAGTGTGCAATGATTCTTCATCCATGCTGGGGCGATTTAGTAAAAAATTGGGTGGCTTTAACATTTCCCTATATTTATATAGTTTAATATTTTCTTATATATATCATAATAATTAGACATTTGATATCTTTTTTCTTTTTTTCTTTTTTCTTAAAGAATTATTGTTAATGAGATTCATAAACATTATATTTATCACAAGGTATTTTTTTACATTCAATTGTTAAAATTTAAGTTGTTATCAATCTAACATTTCTATATGAAAAAAAAAAAAAAAAAAAAAAAAAAATCTAAAAAAATATTTATATGTATTGATATTCAGTCTTTGAAATTTTTGTAAGTCTTTAAGGTATTTGTAAATTTTGAATATATCTTATTGACAAATGACTAATTTTTTTTATATGTAATTCAAAATGATTATGATATTTTACTTTTTTTCATTGATGTTTCTTTTGAAGTTTTATGTATTGAAAATTTTTTAAGACGATTGATCAAAATTATTTTGTACAATTCAAGTTGTAAATCAATGACAAGTAAATATTCCAGTATGCCTTTAACTTTACCTAGTTCTAGAATAAAACAATTAGACAAAAAAACATCATTATTATTTTGATTTTATAATATGAATTAGAAAAATATTCTAGTGTGATATTATAGAGCTATTGTGTGTGAATGCAAAAATAATAATAAAATTCTTAATAACAATAACTTAGTTCAGACCTATTCACATAAATATGAAGAATAGCAAGAAATAAGAGATCAAAAAGTTGAAAGGACATTATATTCTGTTCAATAAGGGACAAAATTAGGAATTAGGTAATATCTGGCTTGTCCCAAAACTTGCATTGTCATTGCTGAGGTGCACAATGTCCTTCATTTTATTTACACTGAAGCACTTAGATTACATGATTTTTTTTGTATAAACTTCTAATAATAATAACACCATTCAATCAAAATGTTTCATTTTAGGTCGGCGAACGATGTTAACGGCACACTTACATACCGAGAAATCGAAGTGGGATATGCACATACCCGGATCCGGATCCAGCTACAAATTGATACATGGTACACTGGTACCCGGACAATTTGATACCCGCACGACTGGCCCTTCGATTTGACCGTAATGGCCGCCCTCTTCGGTTTGGAGAGTGTGGAAGGAGTAGAATGCTAACCGAGCAAATTGGACACTCGCACAATCGAAGAGAACACAGAATCAAGCGCGTGATTGAAGAGCTGGAATCGTCCCGAGGAAGCTTTAGAATATTGTTTGGCCCGCATCCATGCTGTAGCAGCCATGTTTATGTTGGCAGAGCTGCAGGACACGCTGAAGGTGCCGCCGCAGAGCTTGAGCCTCGCGCTGCAGGATGCTATCACTCAGGAGCTTGCCAACCTTTACTTTGACAAGGTGAAATGAAAATTTCTCGCTTCTTATTCACCTCCGCGGCTTCTCTTCGTGCTCGGAAACGTGGTTCTGAGTGAAATTTTAGTATGTGAAATTTGAGGATGTTTTTATTTATTTATTTATATTTTTGATAATTTTTCGTTGGTCGATATTTTGGACTTTCTGGTTACTTGACATGTGAGTAGAGCATGTTCTGATTACTGCCTGGTTGACATTGTATTTGCGAGAAAGTTCTACGTTCTGCGAGACTGAATCGGTTTCTTTGGGTTTTCCGTGTCAAGTAGGTGCTGAAGGATTTAGGGCTGTGTGTGACGCTGTATGACATTAGTAAGGTAGAAGGAGGCTCTGTATTTCCTGGCGATGGTGCGCCTCACTTCACGGTTTGTTCCCTTTTAATTTTCTTAATTTTCTTAATTTCGTTTTTTTATCTCTGATTATTTCAATCGACCGTGCACGTCTTGTTTGCATTTGTATGACAGAGCAATTGCGCCATGCATAAATGTGTAGTGAATCTAGTGTGGAATAATGTAGGTTTCTATCATCGCATCTAATCTGAGTAATTTGGAAGGATTTTTGTAAGTAAAGCGCCATAGATCGTCTGGTCCAATACGCTGGCGATTCCCTGTATTCTGAAGTTCAGGGTTTAGAGGTTGAGATTTGAACTCTTTAGGATGTTACTCTCTGTACGGTATCTCCTGATGTTATGACATCTTTCCGTTTCCTTGCTGTGGAGCTCCGCATGTTAGTTGATTGAAAAGGTTGCTTGATTGATATTGACCCCGAAGGACAGTTAGTGATGTATGCATCTCGACACCGAAAGCTCGTAGAATTGGATCGACCTAAATTCGGCTTTTAGGGTTTAAGAAGTTGTACGACGCTTGTCAGTTCAGCATTGAGTCTAGAGATACTTCGAGCGGGTGGTGGATGTTTCCAGGTTGAAATGTGAGCGTCAGGCTTAAAATTGCAAATAGAAACCTGTTTCGCATTTTCACATGTTTTGGCTCTCCATCTGGTTGGATCGGAACACGTGTTGGGTGGGGTCCTTCAACAGGTGGATTTTAGGCTTGTTATGTTCCGCCCCTTTGTTGGTGAGGTGTTGATAGCGAAACTGAAAAGGTGCGACAAGGCAGGCCTCTATTGTACGTTTTCTCGCTCCTTAATATTCCCTTGCAATTTTTGGTATCCAAATGCACGTTATTACAATTTTTAAGTACGAATTCTGTATTGATGGTTCTGCTTACTCATTGAGAACTTCTGTGTTGGTTGCATTGTTGTTTCCAAAACGTTTGTGCAGTGTCATTGGGTAGTTTTTTTGAGGACATACACATTCCTGAGCATCTCCTTCAACAACCTTCCAAATTGTGTAGTCTCCTGCCCCTGTTATTGAACTTAAAAATGCGGATTTCAGAAAGTCTGGTAGTGGAACATTTTATTCATATTTGAGGCATTTGGTAAAATGAAAGTCCTGACTACAGCGATCCTGAGAGGGGAGCACGAGTATTGGCATTAAGTGTTGTAGCCACCGTGTTCAAGTTAGGGACGTTTTCAATGTGGATTCACATCATTGTGTCGTGCAGTGACGAGGAAGAGAAGCTCTGGATTTGGAACTACAACGGGGCTGATATGTTTATGGACCTTGAGGAAGATGTGAGATAAGCTTCCTTGGTTAGCTTCTGCTCATAGTGAAGGTCTTATTTTTGAAAATCTGAGTCGGATGTAAGGAGATTTGTTGTTAGTTCTCTGAACACGTCTTATCAATCTCAAGCAAAGTAATTGTCTGTGCAATTGCTTCCAGGTTCGATTCCGGGTAGTACAGGTGAAATACCCACCAATTCCTATTGAGCAAGAGAAAGATGCGAGACCTTTTGCTCCCATGGCTATCACCGTATGCAAATCCACTTTCATCTTATGTTCTTTCTTCTCTTGCAAATTATTCTGGATGAATGTTGCAGTGCTGTAAGCTTTTTCACTGGTTTGATTTTTTGAAAGTTTTTTTTTTTTTTTTTTTTTTTTTTTTTTTTGTCGATGTATTATCGGATAGGACTGGCTGCCAACTCTGTTGGAGATGCAGAACTAAATTACAGTTTTGTGATCATGTTCACAACACGTGTGTATCATGTTGTTGGAGGTGCAGGGGGATATCAATGCAGATGGTCTTGGGCTTGTCGCATGGTGGTCATAGTCTAGCTTTTCAGTGTAGAGAAGCCTTATCGCCTGAGGTACTATACGTACACCTTCGGTTTTGTGGAAATGCTACTTTGAAGTAGCTGTTTGTAGAAGCTGCTTCCAACATGACCAATTTTTTTAACTAACTCTTGGTGTCGTGGATTTTTGCCAGATAAGGATAGCAAAGCTTGAGCAAGTTAAAGTTGTTTTTGAATCATGTTACGGATGGTAGTAGCATAATAGTGGTTACAATTTGGTTAGAGCTGAAAGGTTAGCGGCTATTGTTGCTACCTCATTTAGAGGGTGTTTCCTCAACGGTGATGGGTTGTCATAATACTACAAGAAACATAGCAGAGCTTCATTAAAGTGGCATTGACGTTTCTTGCTGATACACGAGGATTTCCTATGCTTGTTTAGTTGCCTTTCACATATTGCTCTTTTGAAGATAATATTATAAATAAAGACAATGATTTTTTTTATAGCTTCATTAAATGTTTGATTTAGCTAAGGTTTTATTCTAGTCTATATTGGAGATGACATATAATATGTGTAGCTTTTGATTTTAATGTTGATTTAAAAGATATTGCTTGTTCTTAGAGTTTGTGATTTTTATTTATTTATTTATTTACTTTTCAAAAAGATATAAGAAGATTTCATTCATTTAATATATATATATATATATATAATATTATTTTTTATTTTTTGAATTTGTGTTTATATGTTGTAAGGGTATATTTGGTTTGTTACTATAAGTACATTTAAATTTAAACAAAGTACAAGTAATGATAAAAGAATTATTTGATAACCAATTTTGCATTGCTTGATTTTCAAAGTCTAAAGATGTATTAAATAAATTATATCAACAATTAAAAAACTTGATTTTGATATTGACAAAGTAAAAAGAAAAAAATCAAAATAAAAATTAAAATAAAGGATTAGCAACTTCAATTTTTATTTTGATGAAAGATTCTAAATTAACAATAACAAGTCTAATATTAGTTTATTGGATATGTTTATTAAGATAAAAAAAATAATAATAAAAAAAAAATCCAAGAATTTGTTTAGTAAATGATTTTTATGCTTATATACTTAAGCTGTTCCAATAGATTTATTTAATTTAGTTGGTAAATATATTTTTGATTGTTACTATATTGGCTTGGTTTGGTTTGTACCATTACTAGGATGAATTCATGATATTTGTCGAATTATAAAATATATAACAACTCTTAGAAAAATAATAGTAAAGAATTACTAAACAAAAAAATAAGTTGTACTTTTAAATATATTACAAACTTCTAACAATTAATATGTAAAATTGATTTGAATGTAAAAGATCTTATTAGCCAATACTACAAAAAACTACTAATACAAAAAGAGCCAATACTACAAAAAACTACTAATACAAAAAGAGCAATAGAAGCAACAATTAAAGAAAATATAAATGTATATGTAGTAAACCAAATCATATAAAACAACTTGAATATAAGATAAAGAGACAAAGAAAGCTTCTCATTGGCTAAACATGGAAACAAGAGAACATGAGAATGAAAAACATGGATGAACAAGGAAAGGATGGATGGTCACAATCATTGCCAAAGGAATTGGACAATCTTATATCTTTGATATTTTTCAAAGATATTTTTCATCAAAATTCAATCAAAGGTTCAGATTATGTCATATATATATATATATATATATATATAAAGAAGATTCAATTAATCAAAAGAGAAAGAAAATTTTATAATAAAATTGGAATAATTTTTAGACTTTGAAAAACTTTAAAAATTTATTATCAAGTGTTATTTTGATATTAATATTTTATTTATAATATTTATTAAAAAGGATAAATTCACATAGAACAACAAGGTCAAAACATTATATAAGACATTTAAAGATTCTTGTATACAAACATCAATATTATTACATATAGATCAAAAAATACTATTTTATTTCAATAATAGAGGTATTTATATTTGCTTTAAGCTTAGTGTTTTTGTGATGTGGTGACATTAGTAATCTATATCACATTGTATATTTGTTGTATAATATTTTTGATACAAGATATTAATAAAAAATCATCAAAAATATTTATGCTTTCAAAAAATAGTGTTATTTATTTTTAAATATTATATATTTAATAATTAAAAATACATACATAGATAATTCTAATTTAAAAACATATTACATATATTTCCAAGATTTATACAAATTTATATTTTTTAATTAGATCATAATATTTTTGTAGAAAAATATTTTTTTCTAATAAAAAATGATATTAATACTTAAAAAATATCAGTAAGTAAAAATAAAATTAATAATTAAAAATCTTATAGAATCTTTTATTACATGTATAAGATGAAAGATTAAGAAACATTATAAAAATTTATCTAACAACTTAAGAGAATAAAATCTACATTTAAACTAAAATAAAAAAGTGGCCTCAATTAAAAATTTCTCTTAATCAGTCGTAAATTAGAAAAGTGTAAATATAAGATAAAGAGAAAAGAGAGAGAGAGAAAAAAAAGGCAAATAAATGAATAATAGAAAATATAAAAAATAAGAAAAATTATATCATTTAATAAATTTTATTTATATAATTAATTAAAAATAGCAATTTGAAATTATTTTTTTAAACTTTTTAATAACACCAAAAAAATATAAATTGTACTTATAATTTTTTTAAAATATGTCTAGTAGCTTATATGAATTTGAGTGCATAAATTCCACAAAGGTTGTAGCACTTTGGAAATAGATAAGAGAATAATACTAAGGACTCTAGGCCCTTTCAAAATACTCTTAATACACTACTTGTGTATATTGGTGACGTTCAAGTCCTTCACCACTTAAGTCGTATATTTTAGATATTAATTAAAAATTACAGTAACAACATATTTAAGTATATATAATCTCTGAATAATTTTAATAAAGTTTTGAATTCAGCTCTTACGCAGTACACACATTTCATCTGAAAATTTAATATTTTTCTCTCAAGAATCTTTTGAAATTTGTATCGGTGCATCGTGAGGCGGTGGTGGTGCATTGTGAGACCGTGGTGGTGTGGAGGGGTGGGACGGCGTGGTGGACAAGGTGGGGTGGAGAGGTGGGGCGGATTTGAACCATTGGGTTTGTGGGAGGTGATTGCGGTAGGAATGAATTGTTGATGTGCAGTATTATCCTACGTGAACGCGGGCTGTGATATGATTAGGCACGATTGAGAAGCTGACCTGATCTTCGATCTGACTCCCACAAGGGAGATGTTGTCGCCGCATGAGCCCTACCGACTAGGGATGATAATTTCGATTTTTGCTGTGTAACTGTTTGCAGCGATTGTTTCCGACACTTGTGCGATTCCTTGCTTCCTCTCCATCCCCGAATTCTATTCTTTTGTCCTTTGCATTCTGGATCTGGGATGCTACAGCTTCCAAATTCTGGTTTGTTGTGGCGGGGGAGCTTGTCCATTACACAGTGTGGCCTGTGTGGCGCCCGGGTCCTGGTGATGAGTGCGGTGCAGTGCTACCAAGCGTGGCAGTATGGTAAGGGGGAGGTTCTGCTAAGGAACTCAACTGGCTGCAGCAGCAACGCCCCACATCTAAGATCCATTACTTTACTACCAACTCATATTCTAGTTCATTACAAATATATATATATATATATATATATGTTTTTAAAATAAATGTTTGAATTCATATATTTTGTAAATATCACATACACTTCATAAATACGAAAATATGTTTAAATTCAATTAATTGATGTTATATATGACTAAATATAATAGAAATGTATACTCATATGCTTGAAATGTTTACTCACACTATGCCAGCTCGTTCTTGCAGACCAAAATACCACTTGCCATACAATGCCTATGCTCTTGGATCCTGATACATTATACAAGAAACAAATACATTTTTAATATGAAAAAAAAGCATATATATATATATATAAAGATTCTTTAGTATTCTTAATAAGGAAAAAAATTCTAAATAAGAAGTTTCAAGTTTATTGAATTATATATGTAAGAATATCTATGTTTTTTTAATTAATAAGAATCAAAACATAACATATGTATGCAAAAATTTAAAAATGGAAATAGTTACATTACTTTTTAAGAGTGCACACACATTTTTATTTCTTTGATGGAGGAAATAGAGAATGCATAAGAATACTGATCCCAATAAAAATAAACATATTGACGTTTTGATGACAATTATTCTCCTATGTTTTTACTTTTGTTCATCTGCACATTAAAATTATTTGTTAAACATATAACTTTTTGAATCTAAGTCCAATATCTATAAATAGTAAAAATTTATTTGAAGAAATAATCCATAATATCAAATATACATTAAAAAGAAAATCAAAATCAAAATCAAAAACTTGCAATATAAACACTTACCAAAAGATGTTGGACAATATTGCTCACAATAACAACTTTTTCCATTCACATCTTTTGAAGAATCATCACAATATGGACACAATATGGATTTCCTTGAAGAAAAAACATAATCGATTTTTAATCTTTAAGAGACAATAATAATATACCAAATTTTATATCAAATTCTATACAGATTTTATCTAAAAATATTTCAGTTAATCATGTTTTTTAACATCTATTATTTAATATTACTACAAAATTTATCAATATTTATATTTTCCTTTCTTGTTTCAAGTTTAGACTTTTATAAGCACAACTAAAAACAAATATATGAATAAAAAAGCTAAATACAAGTTTCGAAAATGTAAAACTTTAGTTGGATATTTATCCATAAATCATTGTAACAACTCATAAATCAACGATGCAAATTTGGATAAACAGGTCTGAAGTTGAAAGAGAACTTACTAGAGAAGGATCCCTCTACTTGTTATGAAGGATTTGCCAAAGGACACATCCACAATGTGGTTGTTTCTGAAATTCAATACTTGTAAACTCCTTTTATTACTTTTCTTCAGATTTTGAATGCTGGATTGCATGCTGATCAAATCCAAACTCTCATTAATATTGTTGTCGTCAAGGTCCTGCACATGAAGTGTTCAATTTCAAATAATTTGCAGATTTGTCAAATGTTAACATAAGGCAAAGCTGGTCATAGTATATGTGCACACTCATAAAAAAAGAAAAGTTCCCTTGATACAAACAGATGGCAATTGAGCTACGTGAGGAAATCTAGCACGGATAAATAAATTACTGGGTATTAAATTCATCCAACTGGTCACCATCTCAACGTTACAAATGGGGTAAGAGATTGAACTTGTCATAAAAACACGTGACTTTTCACAGGTTACGTTGTGGCACTAATGGCACCAAAACATTGCACTTGCAGTCTCTCCAGTGATAGCAGATCTGGAATCGAGTTCCGATCTGGTAAAACACCTCCAAACTTGAGGCCTGAAACATCCAGCACTCCTAGCTGGCTCTTGGTTCGAAGCCATCCCTTGAAAAGCTGTGAGAGGTGCGGTAGATTTGTGAAGTTGTTGCGACTGATATTCC